ATTTATTCAACTCCTCGTCGTTTCTGATGGCCAGCTGCAGATGTCTTGGAATTATTCTGGTCTTCTTGTTATCTCTAGCAGCATTACCGGCCAACTCAAGAACCTCAGCTGCCAAATATTCTAAAACTGCAGCAAGATACACTGGAGCTCCAGCACCAACTCTTTCTGCATAATTTCCCTTTCGCAGAAGACGATGGATACGACCTACAGGAAACTGAAGACCAGCACGACTGGACCGAGTCTTGCTCTTCCCCTTTACTTTGCCACCTTTTCCACGACCAGACATGACGATATTATTTGTGGGGTATACGAAATAATGACTGGCGACGGTCCTGGACAGACATTTTTATCAACTCTGTACTTATTATGTCTGGCCAATCAGATCCCGAGTTTTGAATCCGAATAGAATCGTAGCCTCGCAATATTTGTTACGTACTCATCGTTGAAACATGAATTGTCATTCCTCTTGATTCTTCTCTAAATTATTTAAACCTGTTATATCAAATTTTACTGTACTGAGTAAAAAAGCATTTCATGACCAAGTATTCATAATTACAGAATATTATTCTTATTAAAACTAATGTATATTATATACATTTAATTTTACTGGTTATTCCTTCTCTTTCAACTAGCGAAATGCTTCATTATACAAACTTCTGGCATATAGTTTCACTGTATATATGCACTCCTACTGTATATATGCACTCCTACTACTTCACTGTATATACTACTCGTACTACTACTGTACTATTACTACTACTACTGTACATATAGTTTCACTGTATATATGCACTACTACCTATATATGCACTCTACTACAAGTAGAGTGAGTAACTAGTTGTGTATACGAAAAAAAAAAATTAAAAATGTATATATACTTACTTGAATGTATATATACTTACTTTAAAAAAAAAAAAAAATTAAATAATATGAATGTATAAAAGGTACACAGTACACGGTCAACATTTCTTCGCCAGAATAGGTAAGCACAAGTGCTGTAGAAAAATCTGCACAAGAATGAATATATTGTGAACCAAAAGAGAAGTTTAAGAACTCCTTAATTCCAATTTAGTGTTCTATCCCGGTTGCATCCAAGATACCCGAAGCGAAATCTACCTATTAGCCAGTCAGGGGAACTCCTCACTGGCGCCCGAACATCTCATCCACTTCAAACCCTTCTCAGGTTACAACAAAATCCAAATCCCTAAAGAAGCTGTAAGTGCTGTACATACCGAAAACGTAGTTGATTTCTTGACATTTTTAACAGTTATTGAGCTTTAGAAAAGAAAAACATAATGCAATCTCCTTTTTTTTTTTTTTTTTTTTGTTGTTGTTGTTGTTTTCCATTTTCTTCAATTGCCTATATTTTTTGCCTTGCACTGAGGTAGTTTGGCAAAATTTGGTTATATGAAATCTCTTAAATTTATTTCTCAGTTAATTTATTGAACTCTATTTTTCGGAACAGTGAAGTAGTATTCATTGAATAAATATTGTTAAGTTTGTGATGTGTGTACACTGATTACTTGACTGAACTTGGTAGTTCTTCAATTCATATCACACATGCCTAGTATTTTCGTGCATTTAGCTGCTGAAAAATTATCAGTAAAGACGGAAAGTAAGTAATTTAGAACTAAATGTTGACAAAGATCAGATACTGAAATTAATAATTCATAAATTTTAAGTAATCCTGTCAATGCATTAGCCAATTTACTAAATGTTAAAACAATAACTTTTCAGAGAAGCTATACCCCTACTGATTAGAAGAAATGCTGTGCTGCAGCAAATCTGCATATATATATTTAAATTCTTTAAACATAAATAACTATCCAAGTAAGTTGCTATAGGTATGGCTGTCTTTCATTGAAAATACTTAGTTACATAAATGTTGGAAAAAAAAAAGACAAACAAAAGGTTTTATACATTTTATTTCTACACTAAATCAAGTCACACATAATATAACACAGAATAAAAAAACATATTGCAAGGAATGCACTGTAATCATCACTCTCTCTGTTGGCATTTAGTGAGGAAATAAAAACTGTTGCCACTTACACTGTCTATAAATAGCTATTGAAATACAATATCCCTCAATATCTGTTTGTGGGTGGCAATGGGAAACATCCAATAGAATTCATTCCTCAAAACAATGCTATTGTCCTGAAGTGACCCCTCAGCTGATAAAGTGGTCAGATCAGGTCAGACAGGTGTAGCAAGATGGTGCATGTTTGATGGTGAATGTGATGTTTGATGTTTTAATTCAACCCAAATGTAGGATATTGAACTAAATATAGTTTTTATTGGAAGGTAAGTTCATTTAAGATTATATTTTCAATTTGTAATAAGTAATATGAATATTAATAGCTGTCTATAAGTAATATGAATATTTGTATGATGAAAGCAATTTGCCAAAACAATTTTTTCCCTTCTTAGTGTTCATTGTTTATGTTTTGCCTGACCAGGTTTTTTCGTATGAAATGTCTTGTAATTTTTTTTCCTGTTGTGTAAATGTTTATTGTTTATAATAATAATTGTTTTGTGAAAAAAAATAATATCCCATAATTCTAAATGCTTTGTGAAGTCTTCCACTTAATATAGTGCATCTTCATGTCAGACAGACTTTACTGCGTATGTGCTATATTTGTATTTCATTTGTATTCTATGTATTTGTATTCAATATTTTTTTATGTTAAAAATATTTATTTGATGTCATCTTTATTTGTATACTTCGTATTTACGATGTATATGAAAACCCTGAATACTTTACTATGTATGTACATGTGAATACTTTGCTGTGTATATGAAAAAATTTGTATTTATTTGATAGTGCATCAATGTCTTTGAAGGTATGCATGTTGAAAGATAATGTAATTTTGAAACGCTTGGTATGCATCATGAAAGATAAATGTTATGGATAAACTGCATTACTGAAATGAAAACTGCATTGCTGAAACTGCATCATGAAAGATAAATGTTATGGATATGGATAAACTGCATTACTGAAATGAAACTCAGAATGCATGTTCTGAGCGGATTCAGCAGGATGATTCATTGATGTGATCATTATCGGTTCTCATTGAGTAATAATAGATATTAGAATATTGAAGAATTTACTCAAAAGCTCATTTAATCAAAACATCTCAAAAAAAGCTCATTTAAAAGCAGATGGAATCATCTCACAGTTCCCAGAATGCGTGCAGTGTTTAGTGAATATTACCCAATTTCTTGCAATTGTTATTGATTGATGTTTTTTGCTATTGGATGGGTTCACAGCAGAACCACTTTAGAGAGAGAGAAAAAATGAAATGTGACCTATTTGTATGTTGTTAAAATATGTATTTTTAGAGGCTGTTTCTTTTTTTATTGTTTGTGGTATGAAATATCGGATTTGCGGCATGAAATTTCAATGTTCGTGGTATGAAATGTTGTCAAAATATGTATTTTTAATCAATAAAAATGTTTAAATATGGTTTTTTTTAATGAAAAATGGTTTCAGAAATGTCACATTTGTACTAAGTTCTAGAATCAATGAAAAACTGCAACTGAATCAATGAAAACTGCAACTTGCAATTTTTATTGATTGATGTTTTTTGCTATTGGATGGGTTCACAGCAGAACCACTTTAGAGAGAGAGAAGAAATGAAATGTGACCTATTTGTATGTTGTTAAAATATGTATTTTTAGTGCGGTTTCTTTTTTTATTGTTTGTGGGATGAAATATCGGATTTGTGGCATGAAATTTCAATGTTTGTGGTATGAAATGTTGTCAAAATATGTATTTTTAATCAATAAAAATGTTTAAATATGGTTTTTTTAATGAAAAATGGTTTCAGAAATGTCACATTTGTATTAAGTTGTAGAATCAATGAAAAACTGAGGAAACGACTGTATTTTCTAATGCGATAGCGAAGTGAATGAAAAGTTTTTGAAGTCGATGAGGAGATGAATGTATTTTCTAATGCGACAAGTAAGTCCACAAATTATAAATGTGGCAACGAAGGAAATGATATGTTCTGAAACTGAGGAAACGACTGTATTTTCTAATGCGGCAAATGTGAAAAAATAAGTCTATAAATTATAAATGTGGCCACGAAGAGAAAGAAATGTTCCTTATATCTTACCTTTGTTGAATGTATTCTTTCGATAGGCTCGGAGAAAGGCTGTGGTCAAACCGTTTGCGAAACATGCGAGGATTTATGAAAGCAAAGCAGTGACAAAAAGATAGCATTTTGTGATGCATCATAGTTTATTATTTATAAACCGGCAAAGCAAAAGCTGAATTTTTTAAATATTTAATTAATTTTTTTAATTAAAAAAATATGATTTATTTGCGGAGAAGAGCAATTTCATCCAGATGATATCCCCACCCCGCCCCCTACCTTCCTTCCTTCCTGCCCCCCTTTGGGATTCGAACCCGGGCCTTCCGGCCCGGCAGTTAGCTTCGCTAACCACTGTCCCGTCTGGGCAGGCTAGCCAGTTTCCTGTCCCGCCAGCACTTGCTATGCTTTGCATACCATTGAATGTTTTCGTTCCAGTTACTCGGAGAAAGGCTGTGACTGAGCTAGTGAAACGATTCGTGATACGTACACCTGAAAACTATGACACTGATATGCATACATTTTGATAAATAGCAAACTTATGGAAAAACCACCTGCATTGAAATGTATTAAGGCTGATTTCCGGAAAGCAGTGTGTATATAAGTGAGCTGGGACTAACTGCTAAAGTACAATTTTTCCTTATTCGGTTATTGTGTGTGTATTAGATCCTCATTTTGAAGATAAGAAATTGGATGCAGAGCAATGAGGATAAAGATGATGACTTGTAGAGCTGAAATATATATGATCAATTTCTTTTGCAAAGAGTGTGAATTAATTTTAAAAATGCCAATATGAAATTATAAATTGAACAATGAGTGATTTAAGGATAAGCAGGTAACAGCTAACCTTTATCATATTCTGGCCCTGAAAAGGGCCTTTTTTGATGGGGGGAAAGCTTTGAAAATTTACTTAGAGCTGGTGTACTTGGTGACAGCTTTGGTTCCTTCCGAAACAGCATGTTTTGCCAGTTCACCAGGCAACAATAGTCGTACTGCAGTTTGTATTTCTCGGCTAGTGATAGCACTCCTCTTATAGTAATGAGCTAAGCGAGAAGATTCTGCTGCAATGCTTTCGAAGATGTCTTTAACGAATGAATTCATGATAGACATAATAGCCTTACTCGAGATGCCAGTGTCGGGGTGAACTTGTTTCAAAACTTTGTAGATGTAAATAGCGAAAGATTCCTTCCTGCGCTTCTTCCTCTTTTTCTTGTCACCAGCTCGGACAGCTTTCTGTGCCTTTCCGGCCTTCTTTACAGCTTTCCCAGATGCTTGAGGAGGCATTTTTAACAGTCTTCGAATGAACTGAAGTGCACATTGGATGCAGCATATTTATTGAATTTCATTCTTTTCATTTCCATCCAATGAGAAACGTTCTAATACAGCCTATCTTGGAGAGAAAAGGTTCATTATAATACATATATATACAAATTATTATTACAATTTCATATTACTGATATTGTGGATTATAGTTTTGAGCCACATTTTTTAAAATTTCTAATTTATTGATTTTTTTTACTTGTTCTTCCCTTGGGGGGGGGGAAATCTCTTTTCTTATGACGGATAAAAAACCCCTATGCACAAAATTAATACTCTAAAACTTCGAATTTTGGGTTACTTATATTTATATATCAAGGGGGTAGCCACCGAAGAGAGCAGACGCTTCGTCATGAGCTCCTCGCCTCCTCCCTCGCCAACGCCGGACGCACGGGCCGGCCCCGTAGACTTCACCGAAGCCTATGGACACGACCATCATATCGATTCTCCTCCAGCTGAGCCTGTGAAGGATGTTCCTGATCCCGACCATCAACAAAGAAGAAGTAATCGTTGACAATCCTGCTTCTGCAGATTAAGCAACTTTATGCACTTAAAATCGAGATTTGCAGAGCTTGGAGGCGACGCTGACCAGATCCAGAAGGACGAACGCCACTCGAGCACTTCGATCCTCAAGCAAGTGGAAAAGGAAAGTCACAGGTAGTACTCTTTTCACTAACCTCTCTCGCCAAACGCCTGAATCTCCCCCTATTCGCAATCCCAAGCACTGAAGAAGAGTGCTTTCAAAAACTTTTTCGCGCATGCGAAAACCCCCCAGATAGTGATTCACAATTGGATGTTATTTCAAAATCTGTCAAAAAGATGCCGCAATCTGAGAGAACTAACAATAATTCTAATAGCAGTGATAAAAATCCTATTATCAAACCTGCTAAACTAATTTTTGATCATCGTGAAAAATATAATCCGAAATCTCCTAAAAAATCATCGAATAATACTCCAAAAACAACCCCTACTAAAGCTAAAATGTCAGCCAAACAACCACCCCAAAAAAAGCCTAAAGTTGACTCCGAAGGATTTTCAATACCTTCAAAACACCTCATAGCTCAAAAAGCCAACTCTAAAAGACCTAGATAAAGTGCCTGATAAGCAAAGTTCAAAGGAAGCCACTTCTTCTTCGCCTCCATCTTGGAGCGAGAGGAGTGAAAAAACCAGTTCTGCCTCCCCCCCCTCACTAGAGGAAGGAGAAATTCAGGAAGAAGCATCGGAGCGGAGCGAAAGCGGGCCTCCCCCTCCCCCTCCCGCTAAGAATATTCCGCACTTTTTTGTCGTTCCGAACGACTGGAAATTCTTAGTCAAAGTCGTACAGAGAACTGTACCAAAAGCACAATGCCGAATGAAAGGCCACTATCTACGAATCACGGTAACCTCTGAAGAGGAGTATCGATCTGTAGACCACGTCCTGAGAAATCAGGGCGCGGAATACAAATCATTCCATCTGAAGCAGGATCGTCCCCTCAAAGTTATCATTCGGGGTTTCCCGGTGAAAACTGAGACGGAGGAAATAAAATCTGAACTCTCTCTGATGGGTTACAGCGTGATTAGTGTAACGCAGTTAAGACGTTACAAATCCCGGCACCCAATGCCTCTGTTTCTCATACAACTAAACTCCACCATCAGTGTCTATGACATCTTCGAGGAAACTCAAATTTTTGGCATGGACATCCAAGTCGAAAAACACCGTGGACCGCAAAGGAAAGGTCTCCCAATGCTGGAGATGCCAAGGATTTTTTCATTCCAGTGCTGTATGCACGCTTCCAGTTAGATGTCTGCGATGCGCCGGACCTCACTTTGCCCGGGACTGCCCCAAGCCATTTGAGGAGCCCAACATCTGCGCAAACTGCTCAGGAGGACATGCGGCGAACTGGAACCACTGTCCAAGGAATTCAGCTAACAAGACCCAGAAACAGAGGATCCCACCTAATCCCGTTTCGAAAATCCCAGGTGCCGGGAAACAAAATTTTGTACCCGCTCCCGCTCCTACTCCATTTAGCAGCACGGCCCCCTTATTCTCATCAGTAGTAGCTAACAAGCGTACAAATCCCGGAAGAACGTCCGTTCCTGCTAGTAACGCAGCAGCACCAACCATCTCTACTGTTCCTGTGACTGTTCCTGCGCTGGAGAAACCACCGGCCCAGGTTCTAGCCCCGACTGCAGCTCCGGACGACAACTCCTGTACAGACACACTCAGGAGTGTCTTTCAAATATCAAGGGAGTTTGGAATCGAACAGAACCTGTTGCTAGCAGCATTCCGGAAGGCCCTACCACAACTAAAATCTGCTACTTCAGGACCAGAAAGAGCATTCTACATCTTTGAAAGCTACTGTGCTCTCACTTCTTAAACTGCAACATTCAACGCCTCAAATCGGCTTCTGGAATGCGAACGGCGTTCTTCCCAAAATACATGAATTACGGGATTATATCAGTGAGCATGCTGTGGACCTCTTCCTTGTTCAGGAAACTCATCTGGTTGAGGAACGTAGCGCCAATATTCCTAATTATTACTGCTACCGCAATGATAGAGCGGCTAGTAACAGTGACGCTATTCGCGCTAGTGGTGGCACTGCTATTTATGTAAAACGCACTGTCAAACACAGCAGAATTCCAACTCCGCACATGGAGGCTCTTGAAGCAACTATTGTCCAAATTTATATTCAAAATTTACCCCCCATAGCAGTAGCGTCCTGCTATATGCCTCCAAGAAAGGGACCAAACTTTCTCCCTGACCTTAAAAAACTTAGCGGAGTCTTAAATAACATGATTATTGCAGGAGATTTTAATGCCCGCCATAGAAGTTGGGATTGCGTCACTGCCAATAACTATGGTGACAAATTAAAAAATTGGGCTCAGGGCGCCCACATCCAAATTATTGCGCCAGGAGTACCTACGCATTATCAGTTTCCTGGAGGCATAGGTGCTCCATCTATTATTGATTTGGCTCTGTTCAAAAATATACCGTTAGATCATTCGATACAAGTGATTCCGGAATTGTCAAGTGACCACTACCCGGTTCACCTTACCCTTAACTGTGTCAAAATTAATCAAAATTTACCGGCGCAAGTCTCCACTAATTGGGACAATTTCCGGCATATTTTGAATTCAAAAAATCTTCCCCCCCTCAAAATTAGCAATAATCAAGAAGTTGATAACTCTATTGAGCAACTTACTAGCACAATTAAAAGTGCATTTGATGCGGCCTCATTCCCTAAATTTAGACCAAATTATTCCAAACTCCCGGCCTACATTAAAGATAAAATCAAAATTAAAAAACCGTCTTCGTAGAGATTGGCAAAGAACCCGAGTTGAAACTACCAGAACACAACTACGAAGACTCCAGAACGAGATTAAATCTGACATCAAAAGGTATTCTGATGATAAATTTAACTCTTATCTTAGGTCCTTAAAGACCACAAATAATAGCCTTTGGGAAGCTAGCGCTCGGCTACGCAAACCAAAAAATGACATTCCCCCCCTAATGGGCACGGTTAATAACCGGATGGCAATCACAGACACACAGACAAGGCTGAACGCCTTGCTGACAGTCTACAGGAACAATTTTCACCAAATACTGGGCCTCTGTTCGATACCTGCACTCCGCATGGGCGAGAGGTCCAAATACAGGTTAATAATTTTCTAGACACAGCCCCTGATTCAGAAGAACCCATTAAAACAACAATGTCCGAGTTAGCATATATAATACGTGACTTAACCCCCAAAAAGGCACCTGGCCTGGATAATATTAACAATCGCATGATTAAAAACCTCCCAGTTAAAATCATATTTTACCTAGCATTTTTGTTTAATACTATGCTTAGGCTAAAATATTATCCTAATAGCTGGAAAAATGCTTGCGTAATTCCTATTCTAAAACCTGCTTCGGACCCAAAAGTCCCTCAAAATTACAGGCCGATCAGCCTCCTGTCTTCTCTTAGTAAACTTTACGAAACTATATTGCTTAGACACCTGAAAGATTTCTGCCGAAACCGAAATATAATTATCCCACAACAATTCGGTTTTCGAGCTAAACACTCCACTCAGGCCCAGCTACTGAGAGTAGTGGAAATCATTCATACGGGTGCTCGCAATAGAATGCCAACCGCTATTGTTTATTTAGATGTAGCAAAGGCATTCGACAGGTGTTGGCACATCGGCATAATATTCAAGCTCATGCGACTTGGACTTTCGGCTGACTTTGTGCGACTAATGCACTCCTACCTAAATAATCGACATTTTTGTGTTAAAGTTAAAAATTCTCTCTCTTCCCCCCGTCCCTATCCTGGCTGGGGTCCCTCAGGGAGGAATAATTAGCGCGTATCTTTTTAACCTGTATGTAAACGACATTCCACAATTACCCACTGTCGATCTTGCACTTTATGCAGACGACACTGCCATTATTTCACAACACTCAACTCTTCACCACACTTTGCATCATCTCCAGCAATACCTGTCAGATTTAGAGTCCTGGCTCGTTGACTGGAAGATCAAAATTAATGTTGCAAAAAGTGCTGCCACCGTTTTCTTTTCCAGAAAAAGGAATGTTCACAGCCAACTCCAACCACTCAAGCTCTACAATGAAAATGTACCTTGGGTGGACTACTACAAATATCTCGGAGTTTATCTGGATGCGAAGCTAATCTGGGGCGTCCATATTTCATATGCAATAAGTAAAGCTAAAACCACCAGGAATCAACTGATGCAATTAATATCCAGAACCAGCCACCTATCTCTCCGTAACAAGCTTCTACTCTATACAAGCACCATCATGCCAATTCTGACTTACGCAGCACCTATCTGGGCCACAGCAGCTAACTCCCACCTTAAGAAGATTCAAGTTTTTCCAAAACGTCACGCTTCGCATCCTAACTAATGCTCACTGGTATGTACGCAATGAAGTACTACCATTCTGACCTCAAAATTCTTCCCCTGGATGCTTATTTCAAGCACATTTCGGCAAAATTTTTCAATAGAATTGAACAGATTAGCAACCCGGTCTTGCATAACATTCCTGCCTATAATCCAGCTGAACCTAGTTCTGCTAAAAGACCTAGGGCTGTCATGGACAGGTCTTATAACATCTTCCCTAGGCGGCCTAAAAGGGTTTGTTTGCTTGATCGGGGAACCTCATCTGGCTAAACTATCAGTACTTCATGGGCCTAACCCAGCTACATTTAACTAAACATACCCCCCAGACCTAA